GACTTTTAATAAAATATATCAACAGAAGCTCGTTAATATCTTACTTGTACTATTATTAACTTTTTCTCGTACATCGCACTTTAATTTCTTTCTCTATAAATATCACACCTCAATTCTAGTCAAATATTAAATTTAATACCGCTGATATATATTAATAAACGCGCAACGATGAATATTCACGGTCCTGTCTAGCCAGTGAATTTGAATTTTCGAGAAATTCGGGGATGCAGGTTGATCGGAGCAAAAACTGTATTGTTTTCATACTCGCGGTGTGGCCGACAACTAAATATTTTCAGCTGGTCGCTAACGCCTGGAATAGTTTACTCGTAGCCGGTGCGCGCGTAATAATAATTGCGGCGTCGTTGGATACGTGTTACGTAAACACGCTGTATTATTTCGCTGTAATTTGGCCGTCTGTCTCTATAACGCGGCACGCGTATCGAGCCCACAGCATTATTGACTCCATGAGGCCTAATGAGTGTCTGTTCTACGATTTCGTGTTGTTTCGATCGAAATTCCCCCCCCCCCCCCCTCTCCATACGCTTTGCCTGTTATCGGATTGAAAAATCCGCGGAGAAATTATAAAGGTCAACGAAGTGTTCCCTGTTTGCACAAATCCGACGAGACTCGCACAATTCTCGAATAATTGCGCGTTTGATCGAAAGAATGGAAGTAGGAGGGGAGGATGGTGATGCGACGGGAGGGGAAAGATATTGGATTCAGCAGGATGAGTGATAAATTTCGTATCGAGGAAGGATGTCTGCGCGTGTATTATACGTGGGTGGACGCATCGTAGACGAGGCCAGGGACGTAACACAGTGTCTTTGTCTACTGCAGATTTGGAGGACGTGAACTAGGGAACGCACGATAATAATAGTTGGTTCTTCTATCGATTTCCTGGTGATTTACAGAGGCTCTGTATCCAGTGTCTTCTCCTCTTATTCTAACTTAATATTAACACTTTACTCGAATAATTTAATATTCGTGCATTATCGAGAATCGAAACGTTTGCTGATATAATTGGAAAATCATCCGCTGCTAGTTGATCGTTTTATCCTGATGTAACGTTCGAAGTTTAAAATATTTCTACTGTCTACCGAAGACGAAGAAATAAGAAACAGAAGCTAACCAAGAAATAACATTTTCCATCTGACTACCGCTTTCGACGAGGCTTCGAAGATATGTAATGTATAAATGGTTCTCATCGTTCGCATTGCTTAATTTAACGATTTCCCAGTGAGAAGTATACCGCGTTAAATTAAGTTCTGAACGATATAACGACGCGACAGAGAGAAAGAGAGAGAGAGAGAGAGAGCTCGTCTCGTTCTCGAGCAAAGAGGCACTTGAGAGTTTAATAGTACACTTGGAGATTCCCGTTTTAGTATCGCAAGTTCGCGATAAGACACGTATGAATATATCGTCTCGGGGTGTTTCGGAAGCGAAATTTAAGGGTAATAATGCCAGGGCAGCCGCGCATTCGGTGTAATGCACTCCGACGTCTTCGCTTTCTGTCTCACATACACACACGCACACACACACATAATTTCCTCGATACACATCTGCAATTCAGATGCGGTCGCGTCAATCTGATCGTTCTGCAACGGTCTGCATTGACATGATATTGTCATATTTTCGAATGGGCTATCCCAGAGCGGTTCGACGAGACGCCAGAGAGAAATTCAACCTCGATTTCCATCCCTCGGAGATGGAGTTCCATCGTATCCACGCCGAGAACGACGCGGGGATACTTTAAATTTCAAAATTCTCCCGATGAGAGGAGAAAATAAGGAAAGGACAGGAGACTTAAACACGTATTTTACAATCGAGAGAGTGCATGGAGCCGTTGTTGTTGAAATTGCTTGTTTATAACGAGAAATATATTTGTTAAAAGAATAAAAGGTACAGCGGGTACTCGCGTATGCAGTAAGAATGATGAAATGTATTATATAAAATGATTAAGAATAAACTACGGATACACGACACGTGGCGACTGTTTTACGGCTTGATCGGCAAGAAAACTGAAACAACTGAAAGAGACATGTAAAAGTACAGATCCCATATCATTGTCCTCTAACAGTTTTGTTGTTTCATAACTGTTTCAAGGTAACGTCGATTGAAAAACTGATTTTGAGCCTTCAAAACTCATCCAGCTTCCACTCGCGACTGAAACTATAAAAAAAAAAAAAAAAAAAGAAAAAATATCGTAGAACGTTTCAACGGGCCGAAAGATCATTCGGACAAATTACCCATTCTTTTTTGTCGCTCGAAATCGAGAAAGAAAAAAAAACATTGAAGCATTAAAGCTCACGTTTGCGACGTGAGCACGCGAGCTCGCTTTACTATCTCGTTAACAAAGGAACGAAGCGTTCCGACGAACGATCGATACGAACGTATTAATTAATGAAGCGACCTTAAGGAGGCAATAAAAGCATCTCGAGGCACGATAAAACTTGGTCTCCGTCGACCAAGTCTCTACTTTGTGGAAGAGGAGGAGGAAACCGAAGAAGAAGAAGAAGAAGAAGAAGAAGGTGGATTGATAAGAGGGGAAGAATAAAATGGGAGGAAGGGCGGAGACGAGAAAAGACGGAGAAGAAGAAGACAGCTAATGGAAACGTCAAAATGTAACGGCGCTACGAGGCACGTATAAACGCTCGGTTGTTCTGTAATAATGCCGGTATTGTTGAGCTTATCAAGCGAGGCTAATTGGACGCGGACAGCTGGCCCGGCTAGCTGCTGCTGTTCTACGACGCTTCGAAGCGACCCGCCGCCTCTACTTTACACTGATAATGTAATGGGACCTATCTGGAACACAAAAGCCGGCAATAGTTTAATGGATTTGTCTCAAATTGTCACCGACCGTCAAAACAAACCCGCGAGGGTCAGAAGCGTTTGAAAATTGCGCTTTCCTGCCGCGACAGTGCTCTCCTGCCCACCATGTATCGACCGCGTAATTATTACTGGCCGATTTTTCTTCCTTTCTTTTTTCCTTTCGCGTCTCGTTACCCGTTGCAGCTGCGTGACTCGCGAATCAAACTGGCGATCTGTCGATTGGTAATCGAAGTTGCGTCGAAGGAGATTTCTCGCGGCGTTCGGTGCCTTAGTAGCTGCACAGGAGAATCAGTGCGTGATGGTCGGACTTCTTTACTGGTTACACTGCCGCTTAAAAGTCTTGGGACACTTTTATATTTAATATTCGTGATACACTTGTAGCGGAACATCATGTATACATATTTTGTAATATAACGTAATGTAATACGGAGACTTTACTGTATGAAGTATATTTTATATCTATATCGCGTGTATTTGTTGTAAATGCAACGATTTTTATTGCACATATTGTGTGTATAATTTATAATTTTTATCGTATTATTTTTATTACTTATTCCTACCATTTGAGAATTAAAGATAACATTATGTAATTATGTCTCAGAGCAAATAACAGTAAAAAAAAAAAAAAAACTTGAATACAATTTATATAGGAAACAAATAAAAATAGATGAATTTGATTAATTAGTTCGGCGAACGCGTAAAAACGTAGAAAAACATATCAATGCCCAAGAGAGATTGGCTATTAAATTGACTATATACACCGTTGAGTTCTCCAGTTAACGAGTAAAAAATGATCCTGAATAATTCATACCTTTAAATATAGCCGTTTCGAACGATGATGCCGTATCTCTCTTGTTGAACGGGTGTGTATAAAAATCAATTTCGCGGAGGACAGTTGTAAAAGCAACGTATGAATGAGTCGTTTAAATGAATTATGATTCTACTCGTTTACCACGGAACGACCGATCCCGCGTGTAGAAAAACCATTTTATATTCACGAGAGAAGTCATTTGCCCCGTGCTCGGAGAACCTCGCTTCAGGAACTGTCATTAAGGATCGTTCGCTATTAAGCTCGCGAAGGGGACGCGGATAACGTAGAAAACCGGGGGGGTCGTACGTAACTTCCTGCCGTGCGTGTAGAAACGTATATGCACGTTTATACGGTCGTGACGCCGGCGATAAATATTATTGACAAATAACGAATAACAGCGACGTCGTCAAAAAATAAATTCCTCGCCCGTGTTGTGACCAGCGTTTCAACGACTCGAATCGAACGCGCGAGCACATACATGTATAAAGCTTGCAAGAGAAAAGAAAAAAAAAAAAAAAGAGAAAAGAAACGAAAATCCAAGACGCGGTTTAATTGCTTCCTTTTATGAAAGCAATCAATTCTTACATTAGTTCAATGTCGATCCTTGATGAGGCGTGCTAGACTTCCGTGAAGACGTTGCAACGTGTATCGGAGATGATGATCTTTCGCACGAGCCACTGGCTGTTCGATTTCATATTCATAGAAGCAGGCCGGTATTATTTCAGATTAATGGAACGCGATACGAATGTGCGTATGTATGTACGGGCCAGTGGAATACTCCATGTAGATTTATGGAACTGTGGGCATGGGCCAACCGTAGACTTGTAGAATTCGGCATGAATCACGCCAAGACTAAAACACTACAAATGGATTGGCATTGGTCTAGGGTCAAGGGATATAAATCAGATCATTTCGAACGTAATGGTTTCCAGTTGGAGCAGCTCGCAACCAAAAAAAATTGAACTCTGGTCATTTCTACGATCGGTGGCTATGATTTAAATCGCTTCGGGGTTGAAAGAACGCGATTTAGATTACTCTGGGGAGGGGAGGGGAGGCAAGAAACGCAAGTTAGATTACCTTGAAGATTAAGAAACCCAAGTTAGATTACCCCAAGTTAGATATGAATTAAAAAAACACGAGTGGAATTATTCCAGAATCAAAGAATCGATCTTATCATCCATTCAGATATATAAATGACACAGTGATATGAAATTGACTGATTTTTCTCTCTCGATTCTAAAGCAGTTCGATGTTTCCCTTCTCATTCCAAGTGGCGTTTTTTAAATAGAATTTTGTATACACTCACTTCGCGAATAACGAGATACATTGAACTTCGAAATTTTTCGAAGGATGTACTTACTCTAGTCTAAAACGCTCTGCGTCACAATTTGTAGTTTCGAGATCTTTTAACCCTGCAGCGATCGAACTCTGTTTCTTCCAAGTACCGCGAGTCCAAGTTCTGAACTAAGTAACGATTCGCTGTGCGTATTCATAACTGTGTCGTTGCCTATATCCCCGGTATCTCTATTAGCCTTCTCTGTTTCTTTCTTCTTTTTCATCGGCTCCCTTCAATATCGCTCGTTAAGCGGCGATACGTGTCAGAACGTTTGGTCACGTATCTTATTATAGTAGTGTCAGTGGATCTCGAGCGGTACCACGCATGGCGAACGATAGTAATAATAGCCGGGACCGATGCAATAGACGCTCGGCGTGATACGTAAGCACGGCGTGCGTTGGCGCGTAAGTAAGAAGCGTCGGCGAGTGACGGTTTTCGTCGGTGAGAGATTTTTCGTGAAAAGAAAGAAAGAAAAAAAAAAAAAGAATAACATACGAACGCCGTATGCACGTATGGCTTACACGTGGATTCGCTTTTAACAACCATCTGCGATTTCTTGCCTTTTAGTGACGTAATTATAACGTTTTTGGCTCGTTGCGCGCTCATTCGAACCCGCTCTCGTTCTCGTTTTGTTTCCTTGCTTTGCTTCTTGCGCGGTCCCCCGCGAGACAATGCTTCGGTTGTCATTTTACAAACCACGTGTAGCGGTATGCGTAACTGTTTGCGACTGTTGAGTCATTGGAACGTATAATCGCGCCACTGGCAATACGTTGAATCAAACAATCTGCCACTGAAATTAAAGAAACGTCGCGAGAGATTTTTAATATACATAGACGAGATTTTTAATAGACATAGATATTTATTTATTTTTTTGATGTTTTATATTATAGCGCATGTAACATTTGATTCACATGTTCGGCAGAAATATTGCGCGGCGGAAGAAACACGACGAGCATTATCGTGCCTGCCAGATTTTTTTCTCGGGAATATCGAGATGCGCAATTACGCTCGACTAAATAGGGAATCGTTACGCATAGGAAGCGATTACGGTTCTTCGTGCTATAATTCAGTCCTGATTTCAAGCGTTCTCTTCTGTTTCACACGCGCGTGATTATTATCTTACAATTTCTTCAAAACTTTCAATTTCATGGTTCTAATGTCGGAAAATTTTTCAACAAAAGTAAATTCAAGGAATTTTGTTTTTCTTTCACTCGCCAATTTTCCGTCGAAAAAGATACGAAATGACCAGAGACATAGATTAATCCTTGAATGTTAATGATACATATAATTTTATCTTACGGCTTTTCAAACTTTCAGTTTCACGGTATTTTGGTATCACAAAATCTCTTAACAAAAGTAAATTCAAGGAATTTCTCGTCTATTTTACTTTCCATTAAAGAAAATACGTATATTTATTGAACGAAACGATCAAAGATCATCGCCAATCCTCAAATGTTATAATTTTCATGATCAATCAAATATATCATTATTATTATTGCGAACAAATATTATTCATTCAACAACGAACTCATCTTCCAAACAAAAAGCTACGGACAGGGTGCAGTGTTAAAATTTAACGTAACGTAGGTAAATCGATCGTTCTCGGTCTCGATCACACGTACATATGTACGTATGATAAATTAGATGGAACCATTCTCGAAATTTGTCGAAACCGGTGCGTTTAACCCGGTTAATTACCAAAATGCCCGGTAAAGATCGATCGGCGTCGACGTTAATAGAATTAAACGGAAGAAGAGAGAGAGAGAGAGAGAGAGAGAGAGTTTCATGTTGATTTTAACGAAATCTCACGACGCGGTTTGCGCACGAGACTCCGACTAACGTTTTCGCAGTGGAGAAACTTCGACACTCGGTCCTCCGGTCGCTTCCGTCGGTTTATCGAGTTCGAAACTGCTCGACCGTCCAATCGGTTCGGCCATCGGCGCAAAGTCTGTCTCCAGAGACTCTGGCTGTCCTTAGCTTCGTCTAAATTAGTCGATAAACCCCCGGTTTAAAGTTCTGCAACTTCCGAGCGGGGTAGTTTCATCTCCCTTTCTCTCTCTCTTTCTCTCTCTCTCTCTCTCTCTCTCTCTGTTTCTCCAGCCTGGCTTCGACTCAGCTCGCGAGGTCAGCTTGCGAATGTACTCCCCCGCAGCGTGGGAGAAAAAGTGAAATAAAGGGCGCACGCGGGACGGAATGGGGGATGGATTGATTGGCCACGATGGGAATTAAAACGCGTGGAATGCTCGTGATTCGAATTAATCGGTCGTGCAGGACAATGGCTCGTTCGCAGCTCCGTCAAAGTGACCATAAGCGAATTGAAATTATTCGAATTGGTTCTTCCTTTTATCTGCCGGCCGTCCCTTTGTATCGGTAACAAGAACGGTTCTTCTTTTTTCTTCTCTCTCTCTCTCTCTCTCTTCGGCGTCTGTTTTTAGGATATTAAATTAGAGCAGTCGATTCTTTTTAGCGCCGTTTTTAGGATATTAAATTAGAGCAGTCGATTCTTTTTAGCGTTCTGTGAGCTTTCCATTTTAAAATTGTTTGTCTGCGAGTTTTCTTATTAAAGGATTTATACGATATATATATATATATATATATATATATATATATATATATATATATATATATATGAAGATTAAAAGCAGATTTCTAATTTAAATAAAGATTAAACAATGTGACGAGCACTTTAGATATATTTTATTTCTACGTCCTTGTCTTTCCGTGAATTTCAAAACGGGGGCGAGTCAGAATCGTTCGTTTTCAAAGAAACATTTGTGCATATTTACTTTAATGACCGATGTAACGTCAAGTTCGTTAGATTTTGCCTCGTGATAGCAAGATTTTCACACCCTTCGTCTTTTCGTAAATTCATAAATCTCTAGCGGGTGAATTGCCAAGAATCGCAAGCGTTTGTAACGTTGTAAATTTAAAGACCGATGTAAAATCAAGTTTGTTAGATTTTATATTTCAAAGAAATATACTTTCAAAGATCTTTTCGAAAACGACGACCTACATTGCTTGTATTCTTTTCGTCCGCCAAACATAGGAACATCCTCGGTCTAGTTCCACTCTTCAAATCGGTACGATACTGCTCGATCATCGTTCATCGTAACGCGTGTTCCAAGTAATCTCGTTTCTTTCGTGTCGCGAAATCTCGCGAATTTCGTCGTTATCGCGGCGAAGCGTTCATTGGAAGTCGTCGGATCGCGTTTCCTCGTGCTTCCTGAAGATAAATCACAGCTAATGCAGCTGTAAGGAGTACGTACGTACGTATGTATGTATGTAAGATACGAAGAGACGGATCGATCTGATCGAACGAGAGCATCGAGTTTCATTAATCGGTCGTTAGTCAACAACTGCGAGTATAAATCTCGCGTACAGTAGCGCGGATCGTGGTCTCGAGCACGCGTAACTATAGATAACTGTTATCAGCGTGTGTTTTTTTCCTTCTATCTTTTTTTTTTTTTTTTTCTTTCGCGGATAGGATAGGTCGCCATTGGCTGGGACAGTGACTCACACGAGCAATAATAACTAGGAATGGGATCGAGTCTAATATTGTACTTGCCAATTTAAATCAAGTTTGACGTTCAATCGAAAGTGAAAATGCTTCATCGAACACACGTGTAACGTGCTCGTTTCGTTAAAAGCTAATTTTCGAACTGTGAGCGATTTTTCCATGCAGGATAAATTACCATACTGATCTCTCAATGTTCTTTTATTATATACTCTTCAATCAGTGTCTATATTTGTTTCAATATTGTTATTAGCTTGTTCATTTTCTTTCACTGTCTTGGCATCTCAACAACTGTAACAATTTTTGACATTTCACTCGTTTCAATGTCTTGTGCTTCGTTCTCGATAGGTATCTAATGTTCTTTTTAATTTTTTTAATTTTTTTGGCGTTCTCTTTTGATTGCTAACGTCCTCCTTTGATTTTGCTATTTTATTTTTAAATTGTTTTTTATTTTAAGTTTGCGTTTCTTCAAATGTTTTTAAATTTACTTTGTCACGTTACTGAGAATCTGAGACAAGTGTCATTTAACGAGAAACTCGAATTATCTAAATTCAAGTATAAGTTGATAAATTTTCAAGCTCGAGTTCCTCGAAAACGGAGGTTTTAATTTTATCCTTTCTTTTCGACTCGTTTTCTCACGTATAATCACGTCCTACTCTATTAGTAGCATCACCAATATTGGCACACTCTGTATAAATAGTCCGATATTCGAAATACTCGAAACTGTCGCAAGTAGTACTCGAAACTTGAAAATTAGAACTCCTTCCTCTCCTCGTTAGAAAATTCGAAGGAAATGCCCAACGATTGAGAACGCCTGGAGATTGTGTTAACGATACACGTGTTCTTTTCTCTCTCTTGTTGTTAGCAGCAGTATATCATTAAAGATAGTTGCAAAGCGTTCAACGACTAAAAGATTCAAAACTTTACTCGATCCCGTTCTCTAATAATAACGCTCTTCTCCACGTTCAGTACACGCTCGCATACTACGCATCTTGTTTCTCTCCCTCCTCTTGCTCGTCTCGTTTCATCTCGTTACTTTCTCCAATCGGCTCGCCTTCGTTTCGTTACTATCCTTCTGTTAGTATCTCTCGTCGCGCGTCTTTTGCGCTGTAGCAATCTGAGTGGGTCAGCCGGATAAAGAAACCTCGATGGTTTGTCGTCGGCAACTACGACAACGATGACAAGACGGAGACACGAGGAGTAGTAGAACGATGAGAACGAGGAGGAAGAGGAGGAGGAGGAGGAGGAGGAGAGACGATGAACTTCCACGTTGGCAAATGGTCATTGAGTCAATTACGCGGATAAAGTGCACCATTGTGCGGCGTAGCGGCGATTTTTCTAACCCCGTTCGCCGTCAGCGACGTTTACACGGTTAGGCGGATAACGCCGGGCGTTTAATCACGCGTGCCTTCGCAACCAACGAGATATCTCGCTCGTGTTCGATGCGAGATGTTCGCTGCACGCTTCGCTACCATACTGATAACTTATGTGTCGGAGAGGAATGCCGGAGATGTTCTAATTAGGTATCCGTGTCGTTTGATGATTAGATAGCATATATATATATATATATATATATATATATGATATGTAACAAATATATATATATATATATATATATGATATG